TTTAGGGTTTAGGGCTCATGGCTTCGTGCAAAGTATCCCACAGTAGACTGGGGTCCCAGATAAGGGCCCTCTTTCTAGATTCTAGATGCTCTCGGGGGTCTGGTTTAAATATGCTCAGTGTCTAGAATTCCTGAGTGACCCCTTAATAACAAAGGGTACCCTTTTCCCTGTTTGAATAAAGAAACCCGACAATAAACAAGTGCAAAAGGGTACTACTCAGGAAGTTGGAACATTAATATCCTTATGCCCTTAAGGTAAAGTATAGGGGATCCTAGCACCAATCCTCCTAAACCCATGTTCCAACTTTCCGGGGTTCACTGTAAGTATGTTCAGTGTTCAGGGGTTTAGATTCCTTTGGCTTTGTTGAGGGATCGGAGCTCAGAGCCCGAAATTGACGTACACGAAAAAGCAAAACCCCCGAGAGGGGGAAGTTGTGGTAGTATGGGGGGCCTTAATAATTAGAATAGGGTTTGCGGGGCCCATTATGCTACAATTATTGTCTATCGTTGGGTTGAACTTCCCTGCTGACCTCATCCACGCCAGACTGACTAGGAAGGGGTAAATCGAAGGCATTGGGGTTCTCGCTGTCCGCCATATGCCGATTCCTTAACCGGGATCTCAATAGACCCTCCGTGGTTGCGAAACCATGAGCGCTCACACCGGGCACCTATTTTTTCACCACACAAAACACGTCAGCTGTTGTTTACCAGCTCGGTGTCTACTGCTTGTACCTTGAAACAAGTTGTGAAGCCCTCCACGTTGAGCCGTGCGCTTCATCAGTACATGGAGTTGTGCATCCAGCTGTACAAACACCACTCTGGAATTCTACACTCCTCCTTGGATCTGCCGACAGGCAAGATCCACACTTCTTCAAAAGTTTCTGCCCTTTAGACAGTACTGGCAAACTGCCTTGGCATTGACAACACCGGCTCTCCTAAGACCACGGCACTCTTGATCCCTGTGAACACAATCACCCCTTCCAGAAATGTAGACATACTCTCCAGGATCTAACACAACCACAGGATCTGTCTGCGTGGCCTGAGAAACTGCCGTTGTGCTACTTGTGCCTGGTTTCCCAACCGGAAAGTCATGCTTCAACCCACCTTGTCCTTTAGGCCTGGGAGGCTCTGCGGGTGACAGGACTTGGTACCCCTGCTGGGCACTGCTAACCGAAGGATTAGTCGGACGGGAAGGTAAGGGACCTCCAACAAAGTCCGCAGGCTGCAATGCATACGTGGCCGGAGCACGCCCAACATCACCTGCAACTGGCACATGCATGTTCAGATCGCCGTAAACGACCGTAGGACTGCTCCCAGCCGATGCATCGCACTCATAGTGGTACTCTGGCAGGCATTTGTTCTTGCCCTTTCGTCTTCTGGTTACCCCTTCATCACCTGTAGGGCTCTCACTGAGGGCACTGTCGATGGCCGCAGCGACACGCTCCTGTAGCTGCCTGTTCCTTCTCTCCTGCCTTTGAGTGGTTACTGCACGAATCTTGGGACCTTCATCGTTCCTTCTTCGGCAAGGAGCACCACTTGCTTCCCAAACAAACAGGGTTGACAACACCACGAGGAGGGTGAGAGCTGCAAGTTCCCATGGCCACTCAATCGGAACACCTGTATCACTCTCCTCTTCCAGGTTTGACCCAGCACACAGGCATGCCTGCAACATTCCCAGGAGAGTAGTTAGGCACGTTGGAGTTGGAGAAGAGGATGCAACAGACCTGATCCTCGCCGATCCTTCTTCTTCCTCTTCCTCCGGGGCGTCCCTTCCATTCCCTAGATGTAGTAAGCGACACAGAAACCGCGATCGAACCGATGACAGCACCTTTGTCAACAGGTCCGCCTTCTGCCACTGCCCAGGACAATGCTTCACCGTCCAACCAGACTGCATCAACTGCTTGATCTTGAACCCCCGTACCTTGAGATGGCGGGTTCTCTGGTTACACGCACCCGAAATGAACGAGATTGAGGCCGTGTTGTCCAGGAGAAGCTCAGCCGTAGTGCAATGCAAACCCAAATCCCCTAACACCGTCATCAGGGATTCGGTGTACATACAGCCCTCCACAGCTTGAATTAGCTCCGATTCACTGGAACTAAGTGCGATCAAAGCCTGACGTGAGGCTTTCCAGAGCACAGCTGCTCCGAACACTTCTATCACGTGTCCTCCAAACGAATGCTGTCCTTGTGGCGAAAACGATGCATCTGTGAATACCCTGACAGGAGGCGCACTGTCATCTGGAAGTAGATGAAGACGAAAGTCTTTGGAGTAGTGAAGGTAGCAGAGGATGCGCCGCCCAATTGCCAAAGCCCCATGTGGGTCCTTCGAAACTCGCGAGCAGAGAACGGTCGTGGCGAAACAAATGTCGATGCGGCTTCGTTGCGCAAGCCACAGACATTCGCCGGCAACCTTCTGGGCCGCCCGAGTAGTAGCCTCATCGAACGGCTGAATCTCGGCCCCCTCGTTCATCAAGAGCTCCCTTGGGCACACGATCCTCGACTTGTCACCTTCCTTCAACCCATACGCCCTCACCAACTCATCCACATAAGCCTCCTGGTCAAGGCTGAAATGGCCATCCTCATAACCATGCAGCTGCATTCCCAAGAATCTCACTGGGACTCCCGGGGAAGCCTCACTCAGCCCATCTGTCTCCCAACCTGCCACATCCAGCAACCACTGATGCAAGGCCCCGGCTGTTTTACGATCACTGAGGATGAGGAAGTCGTCGACATAGGTCACCAGATAGCCCTGCAAAGTAGATCCCTTCATGATTCTCCAGATGGATGGATCGGATCTGCCCTGCTCCAAATGACAGCCCAGAAATTCCGCTGTAGTGAGCCGAGCATGTCTGTGATCTGACCACCAAGCTGGTGCTTCTTTGAAGCCATACAACACCATACCCAGTGAGTAGTACTCATCCGCTTGGGCCAGTCCTAAATCTACCAGCCACCGGGGTGGGCGTAGTAGATACCTGGATGCTGCATGCTTTGGGATCGGGGTCTGGGTGAAGGCAGACTTTATGTCCGTGGTGAAGGCCGACCACCGGTGCCTTGAGGCCAGCGCAAGTGCTGCCCGCACCAGCTCTGCTGGAGCTCCCGCTGCATACAGGGAATCTGCATCTACGTGCGTGGCCTGGTTGCCACATCCAACCAGTCTGCATTTCCTCTTGAACAAACCTTCATCGGGCCCCCCCTGGTGCCTTTGCCGTAAACACACCCTTCAAGGAAATTACGGAAGTATCGGGATTGGCCATCATCGCCTTTGCCTCCTTCCCGAAGTGGCTCACCAACACCCCTTGCCCTTTCAACGACTTAAGTTCTTTCTCAATGGCCGGGCGCCATCGATCCAGATGGGATCTGACCTCTTCTTGTGATGCTGTGTGCGTCACACTCAGGGGTTCTGACAAACTGCTCAAAAGTCCTTCAAGGTTTTGCGTTGTTGTTGCCTCGGTCTTGAACACAGCCGCATTGTCTGCTGGGTTGTCACGCACCGAGTCAGCACGATACTTGATGAAAGTCGGATTGGGAAGAGGGAACGGAAGCCTGGGAACCTCGTCATTGGGAATCACCTCACCTGACCTGCTTGTAGGACCTGTGATTGCCCTCACCTCCGGTGGCCCTGGGCCAGGAGCACGCAAAACAGGATCTTGCATCTCCTCCTGAGGTACCGGCTCATGGATTAGCTCAACCCTGAGGATCACCATTTCCACGACATCTCTGATCATGTCGCGGATTGAAAACATCAGCATTCTGTCTGGGAAAGGGGAGTCATCCACATAACCGTCGTCCGAAAACTCATACACGTAAGCTAACAGGCGCAGCCCATCAGCCGTTGGGAGATACAACTCCGGGTCCCTGCTCCAGTTCCTCTGCTGAAACACCGTGGCCATGAACAGGTGATGGGGAATGGATGCGGACAATGGATCCACAGCTGGATCCTCATCATGGCCCCCCAACACCCTTTGCCAACGCGAAAAACCCCTCTCAAAATCCTCCTCATCCAGCTCACACAAGTCAGCCCATTCCTGGCCTGTCATTCTTGCATACCTGACACTCATGCCTGTGCGACCTGGGGGTGGATTCGAACTACGCCTTGGAGCAGGCAGCCTTTGTGGATTGGGACCCACTAGCTTGCACACTGACGGTACACCTTCAGATCCCAACCGAAAACCGAGGGACTTAAGTGCTTCCTTCTTTTCGCTGGCAAGCTTGGATGACCCTAATGGACTATAACCCGCAATTACCCAGTTGGTGGCTGGCATCAGTGCATGACGTTGCTTGGGGTCAAATGCCACAGCCTCATGACCTAGCTGCAAGACCTGTCCTTGGAACTCCCTTCCATGTGGATCCTGACGGGTTTGTTGCTGGCCTGCACCTGTCTCCTCCTGAGCTTGCGCTTCAAGCCACATTTGTCGAGTGGACACTTGCACGGCATAGTTCTTGGAACCTGGCTCATTCCGGACATCCCTGTGCATGTAAACCTCGTCTGCAACGACAACCATGAGCGAGGACCAACAAGGATCAGTGGTCGGTTCCGCAACATGCCTTCGTAAGTATTCATTCAAGTAACGACAGACACTGGGATGTGCAGCGCTGGCTCGGGTGATCCCGCGGAGGCCTCCGTGACTGTACGCTCTTAAAATCAACGAAAACTCCCAAGGACCCCTGTGCTGTCGCTTTGTGACTCCCACAGTATTTCCAAAGGCCAACTCAAGCAGCCGTCCACAGTCATCCGGGTTGTAGGCTTGTGACTCGATGAGGTCCTCTGCTAACATCTCTGCTGGCAAAGTCACTGTCTTGACTGCCCTTTTCCCGGTAACACGGCGGCTTGGTCCAGCGGGGTTTTTAGGTTCCGAAGGCTCGTCATCAACAGGTTCGGCCTGAAGGGCACTGTCGTCTTCAAACTCAGCTTCTGGATCCACTAGGTCCTCCACACACCTGATATTCTTGGCTACAAGGTAATCTGCCCAAACCTTGGCATGGACCCTTCCTTCTGCAAAACTCTATGCCGGTGCTCTTCGCACGCTAACGCCATCGCGGCCGGCCACTGCTCAACACCTAAACCCGAGGAAGCTAAATGCAACCTTGCCCTAGCTTTAACCCAGCCCACCAGGCGTTCAGCAAGTCCATTCGACTTGGGATCATCACCCTGGGTGAATGATGGCTGGATAAGCTTTGCTTGCAACCAATCCATGGTAGCCTTGGACATCAGCTCCTTTGCTCGGTCGGTGTGAGCCACCTTCACTGGATATCCTAGCCTGTTGCACTCTGTGACCACCTCCTGCAAACCTGCAAGGATCTGCGGACCCTGTCGCGACTTCAAAGGCACCACAAACCTCAACGTTTGGTTGGCCCCCGAAAAAACCATCTTAGACAGCTCTTCATCGAAGGCCTCATCGGTCAAGTTTTCCACCCCTTGTTGATCATCCCAGGGATCACCTTCCTGTGAGGGTTGCGGCAGACTATCATCTCCATCAAGACTAGCACCTCCTGCTTCGGCACCATTCTCATCTGGAACACCATCCACTATCCCATCAACATCGGGGACCTCAAACCACCCAGGCTCAGAACCCTGCTCCTCCTCAGACTCAGAAGTCTCGCCGTCGACTTTGTTGACTGTCCTGGTAGGCTCCAAGTCTGCTTTGAGCCAGCTGGCTTCTGAACTTGCATCATCATCCGGCGGTACCACAGTTTGGCCAGCAGGCAACGGAGTCGGCAAAGGTTTCACGGGAGTGTTCCGATGATGTTTCGTCACCTCTCTTCCTTCCCTCAGCGGAAGGGCTAGCTCGGGGACACGAAGACCTGCCACGAGAGCATATTTGTAGCCACTGCCTTTGTCATCGCGCCCTTTTTCTTTGAACGGCCCTGCCAGATCGAATGCAAGTGCAAACATCTGGGGACACTTGACACGCCTGTGCTGCACTCCCAATGCCCCCGACATGACACACTGAAGACAGTCCTTTCTGAATGGTATGTGGTGTGCAGCAATATGCCTTCTCCACCGCTGACGCTCCTTGTCGCTGAGTTTGGCTCTCTTGGGCACTGGCTCCTCCTGAGCCCCACTGGCATCTCCCTTGACTTCCTCCAAAACCCTGGGCTCAACCTCGGGCAGACCTGTACCTGTGGACCCTGCGCCTTCACTTGACTTATCCACCTTGCTGGGTGAATTCACTGCGCAAGCAACGGGTTGTTCCAAGTCCTCACACCCTGGTTGACCATCGGAATTGGTATGGTCTTCAACAACTACCTCAGAATCCTGATTCAGCTGGGCAGTCGCACATCCAAACAAAGCTAGGCTCACCTCCCGGCGAAACGCCGAGGGCCAAACAGAGTGCCTCGAACCTGTGTCCTTAGTTGTGGCTGGTTGCACTGACCTGATACCGTCAGACGGGAAACCCAGGTTAGAGACTACTGTCATAGGCCGACTATTGAAGGTTGCCTCCTTGACCTCAGCTACATGGAACTGACTGCAGTTGCTCCACTGAGCAAATGGCTTGGCCACTCGGTCCAGCCACGACTGGGTTGCTTCAGAGGCATGCTCACTAAAGGTTTGGCAAAAGGGAACACCTTCACCTTGTGCAATGGAGGCCAAAGTCCACAACCACATGGGCTGCAAAGCGATTAGCGAATCGCTGTCCACCTTTGCTTGCAAACCTGCGTCGTTCGACGGCTTGCCCCAAAAGTCCCTTTCGTCGCGGGCATGAACAGTGTTACCTTCATCTTTAACACCACTCCAAGTGCGCATTGTTGCTTCTGCCACTACACCATTGACTCGTCCTGTGAATGATGCCCATGCTACGGCCTTCCACACATCGGGGGTAAGACGTTCTGAGTCGCTGGTTGAGATGACGACCAACTCAAGTCCTCGTTCCCTGCAGAGCTGCCGCAACACAGGGTCGACAACTCCTGCACCCAGATGCAAAACCCATGACCTTGACTCATGAAGCCTCTTGCGGATGCGCCTGTTGAAGGGAAGACCCTTTAGAAGCTCCCAACCCGAAGCATTCTGGAGGTCCACAGCCAACTGATTAACGATACGGCTTGGGGTGTTTTTCGCAAAGGGACACACCTTCACTAAGGCCACAGAAGACTCATAGCTGCCAGAGCTAACAAAGTCATCCAATACCTTGTCCACTTGCAAACCTTCGGCCGCCTTAAGGTGCGCCTTGACCTTCTTCAAACGACCTGACAGCTCCCCTAGCCTCACGCCTTCCAGCTCCTTGACCAACACGAGAGCCTGTTCCTTGCTCAACTGAGGGCATCCGCTCTTCAAGCTGGTTCGCAAGCGCCCCAACCGAGGATGAACTAGCTGTAGGCCGCCCTTCTTGGACCACCGCACTGAGCACCCCAACTTGTCAACTAGGCATCCCAGTGGCAAGATTGTCTGCGGGGCATGGCCCTCTTCTGTGGCTGGTGCTACCAGGGAACCCCCCGGCGTCTGACGCCATGTCTGACGTTGATCACCGGCCAACGACACCGTGCAAGGCACCAAGTTCTCTTTTTCAACTGATGCATCATCCAACACTGCATGCGTGGCTCCTGAGTCCAGAAGTGCGGTGGGACCTTCATGCTCGAGCTGCGGCTTTATGTTCACTGCTCTAACCCTAGCGCCACCATCCAAAACCCTAGCCTCCAAATCCTCAAGCTGGGCCTGGATCTTGGCTGCAGCTGCCATAGGGGGTTGCTCTGAACCTGTGCCCTGACCAACCTCACCGGTGCCTGGTGATGCTCCAGAACCTGTGGTAGATGCCGCCGAAAACTCACCTTGTGGTACTGCTCCAGACAAGGCCTCACGCAGGACACCTGCGGCATCCGACAGCACCTTTCGCAGACCTGGGTCATTGCCCTTAGCCTTTGGGCTGGGTTCACCTCGCATGGCCTTTGCAGAGCTAGCGCCGTCATCGCGCTTTGCTTGAGAGTTCCCTTGACTGACTGGGCATGCATCTTTTCGATGTCCCTTTCCTCCGCACATCATACATCGATCGGCCCTTTCAGGCTTTGGGATCTGGCTCCAGTCATGAAGGAACCTGCAATCTTTGCCTCGCCTGCAACCTTTCCCCTCATGGAACCATTTGCACAACCTCTTTGGAGACTCTGACGTAGGGGCTGCACCTGGAGCCTTGGCCGCTCTGTTGTCCTTAGCTGACGGGGTAGTTGCTTCTCCTCCGTTGGGTGATCTAGCATCAACCTGGCGGACACCCTTTGTGGTCTCCGGCTTGTTGGCTCCTGATCCACCTGACGAGCCCTCTGCAACCCTTGACACAGCTTCGAGTTCAACAAGAAGATGCTCGTAGTATTCCCCAACCTTACCAACTGTGGGCTGGGTGTCCAAGTGCAGAGATGCTCGCACCAAGTTTATACGGAAGGCAAGACTTGGCAGCGACTTCAGCACGTTACTCGTGATGTTTTCTAGAGCCTGAATGCTCAGCGCTGCGTCGGGCTGCGCACCTCCTAGGTCCGACAACCTCGTCATCCAACGCTTCCAAGTTCTCAACCTGAGGACGGCGTCAATCGCAGAGTCAGCGGGGCGCGGGTGCTGTACCTGCCTCAAAGCCTCAGCCCTCTCTGCAACACCACCCGGCTTGTAGATGATGTACAAACGGCACAACAGGTTCATCACCCCACACACTCTCGCCGACGACAACTCCGTTCGGACACCCTCTGGGCAGCACTGGATGATCAGATGCTCCATCCTGTGTCGCACCCTTGACCATCTTGGATCCCGGTCAATACTGGACTCCGGAATCTTCAGTCGAACCCTGGCTATTGGAGTAGCGGGAACAAACTTGTTGTTGTACCATTCTTGTGCTTCGGCAAGCACGGTCTGCCAGCACTCACCTGACGTGTCTGACAAGTCACTCATCGACGGTCGCACTGCGTGCACCCAATCTGCAAACCCCAACGCTCCCTCCAATGTGGGCGGTGGGAGCTTTACAAGTTCCGTGACTCCTGGCCTGACAACCTCTGGTCCTGGACCTGTGGACCCTGCGCCTTGACCTGGTTTGTGCGACGCAAGATCAGCTACCACATTCTGTAACTGCACTATACCTGAAAGCATGGCGTCCAGGGGACTTCCACTTCCACTCGGTCCTCCCTGAACCATGCCCGGCGCGGCAGCGGAAGGCTTGGGGACACCTATGGACCCTAAACCCGAAGACACTCCCTGCGCCACTCGAGACGCAGGAGGCACTGTAGGTAAACCTGTGGCAGGCACCGCGGCAGGGCTAGACACTGACGGAGCTATGGGGATCGGGCCTAAACCACTAGTGGAAGGAGGAACTGGGGCTCCTGGTGCAGACGGGACAGGAGTCGGAATCCCCTGAGGATCGAGCTGTTCGCTCCTGGCAACTCGATCTGCAAGAGAATATGCAAGTGGAGGGGTCGGCGCTGGGTATGAAAGACCTGAAGGCAATCCTTCGGAAACCATCAACGGCAAAGCCTGAGCCTTTCCATGGCCTTGCTGGACAAACCCCAAAATATTCCTCCGCAACCCACTAAGCAACCCCTTCCCAGCTTGGGAACCAGGCACATCACTACCGGCATCTGCTACTGAGACTGCTTGGCGCAACATCTGGTTCTCTTCCACTAGCAAGGCTACCCTACTCTGCAACTCCGACTGTACAGCCATAAAGGACTTCATCTGTCTTGCCACTTCCGCTTGAATCGCTTCAGCCTGACCTGACTCTGAGCTCGCAGAATGAGGTAATTGCGGAGCTGGCGAACTTGATCCCTCAACTTGATGCTGATCTTCTCGATTTCCATCTGCATAGACGGCGGGGCTTCGGTTTCCATCTCCTGAAGACGTCGCGCCTGTTGAGGGGAGAACAACCCGCCTCCGGAAGCGACCCGCGCCTCCGAGCCGGACTGCTCTCCTTGTTGCACTGAACCCGCCGTGACGTATCCAGTTCCCTGTGTTCCAGCTGAGCCTGTATCCTCCCGAGAAAGGAAGCTTTGCGCGGCGCTAGGTTTGCCAGGCGGCAACACTCCTTGCATCTTTGCAGCCACGTTCGCCATGACACGTCCTGCAGCAGCCCTAAGTGTTCCAACTCCTGTCTCTCCACCAGTCACAGTCCTTTCAGACTCACCGCCAGCTTGCGTTTCCAGCCTCGACACCGGTACTTGAACCTCGTCGTCCATAGACATGGGCCCTGCAGACTGAACGGCCCCATACGTGCCGTTGAGTAACAGCGGAGTTCTCGCATCAGCGATTTGGGCGCCCATAACCTGTCTATCGTTGGGTTGAACTTCCCTGCTGACCTCATCCACGCCAGACTGACTAGGAAGGGGTAAATCGAAGGCATTGGGGTTCTCGCTGTCCGCCATATGCCGATTCCTTAACCGGGATCTCAATAGACCCTCCGTGGTTGCGAAACCATGAGCGCTCACACCGGGCACCTATTTTTTCACCACACAAAACACGTCAGCTGTTGTTTACCAGCTCGGTGTCTACTGCTTGTACCTTGAAACAAGCTGTGAAGCCCTCCACGTTGAGCCGTGCGCTTCATCAGTACATGGAGTTGTGCATCCAGCTGTACAAACACCACTCTGGAATTCTACAATTATAATAAGGGACCGCGAGCCCATTATGATATAATTACAAGAAGGGACCCCAAAAATTGTATAGGTAATTATTTAGGCCCCTATATTACTCTGTGACCGGTTTGGGTGTTCAGGTCCAGCTTGTCGTAGAAACACCATCACCCAAACTGAATGCCATCATTGCACATGATGACGCGAAAGCCGGTCATCAAGGCACAGACGCCAAACACATGACCAACATCCGCTGCGATGCTCTGAAAGAAAGCAATGCAGCAGCTGGTTCAATACTGCAGTGCTGCTACATACTATACTATGCTACACTAACAGTCACCCGAAGACCTATAGATGCCAAGTTCCTGGATTTTGAACGAACAACGCCGACAGCCTGTGCCTGATTCAATCGTTCTTTCCTTCTACCTCGACTCGGGAACCCTAAACCCGCTTCTGAAGCTCGGAGAAGTGTCCTCTGGGCCATGCGCGTGGTTGCAGCGTTCTCCCTCCGAACGCAGCATAGACTTTCAGCTTTTGAAGTTACAGGGTTTCGAAAGCCTTACAGAGCCCTAAACACTGGAGACTGGACGTTTATGCATGCTCTAAGCTGCACATCCAAAGCCTACATCCGCAGGCTAGGTCCGTTAATGGTGTGGGGTTTTGGTGTGTCTTCTTGGGAACGAATCTCTGGGCTTGTAGGTCGTTCGAGAGAACTCGAGGTGGAGGCATTCGGGGAAGTACATTGATGTGCGTGAGGTTCTTCTATTACACTATATCATATCATACCATGTTATATCATATTATATCAATCTGCCAATCAATCAATCTATCTATCTATCTTGCCACATATTATATACATGAATATATAAAAGTATAGATGTGTGTACTATGTTACATGATATTATGGTTATGTTCTATGGTGCGGGCTTCGGGGTTGCAGTGTGTGGAGTTTACACAGCCGGGGCCCGGGTTCTGGATGTGAGGGCAGAGGGCTGAGGCCTCATGGGGAAGCGTCCCATGCACCATTCAACAGTGACAAGAAAGAAGAAGGGAAGGAAACCCGGCAGATGCTAGCCTGTGTCTGCGTGGGAGACATCAACTGCTGAGAAGAAATCTTGCATCAACATACTCCGTCCGCTTGTTGGAGGTGGAGACTGCATGACGTTTCTTGATGGAGGCAGAATGGTGGACAAATGTTATGTGCGGCGTGTTGGCATCATTAAGGTGCCGACAATCAACCCCAACACCAGTAGTATGGGGACCTCAGTAACTAGAGTGAGGTGTTGAGATGTGTTACGATCTAGTCAAGGATAGGTTAAGGTAATGATTGCGTTACAGTGGTTTCTACGTTGCCCCTCAAGCAATCTACTGTAGGCGCCTGAACAAGTAGAATGGGGTTTTGGGGCCCATGAAAGTATAATCCCCCAAAATAGTATAGGTATCTATTGAGGCCCTAAATTCGATCCCGATTATAATATAAATACAATAAGGACCCCGCTCCCCGCCAAAAAAAAAGTATAGGTAGTTATGGAAGCCCCTATTACACCCAAACCCTAAACCCCTAAACCCTAAACCCTTTAACCCTATACTAGCCAGAGTCCTGGAGCTTGTGCCCCAAAACCCTAAACCCTAAACCCTAAACCCTAAACCCCAAAGTCGGAACCTCCATGCACTTAACAACCACAGCAGCAGCCCTGGGGCCGAAACCCTGGGTTTAGAGCTCTGGGGTTGAGGGTTTAGGGTTTGGGGTTTAGGGTTTAGGGATTTGGGTTTTAGGGTCTGGGGTCTAGGGTTTAGGGTTTGGGGTTTAGGGCTCTAGGGTTTGGGGTTTAGGGCTCCAGGGTTTCGGGGGTTTGGGGTTTAGGGTTGGGGGTTAGGGCTCGAAGGTTTAGGGTGCAGCGCCTTATGCACTAATCGCACCTGCCATACTAACGTCCCGCTTAACCGCAAGGCCCTGCTCCCATTGCCTTAAGACAGCGGCCCCGCTCAAAGAAGTGACACATCCTTGGCCGATCGTGCCACGTCCAATGGGAGCGCTTAGGGTTTAGGGTTTAGGGTTTAGGGAGTTCCTTAAAAAGAGACGGTTCACCTTCTTACTCTGACACCTTTCGTAGAAGACCACCATGGCTGCGACGACTGCTTCTTCGATGGCTACGGCGACAGCTGTCTTGATCTAAGGTTAATATACGGGCTTTATAATTTAGAAGAGATGTTTGGATATTGCTGAAAACCCTATGTTACAATGTCCAAGGAGCTCTCTTCTGTATCAAGGATGCAGGGCTCAGGCAGAAGTATTTATGCCTTTAGGGTGCACATTTAGGCCTTTCTAGACTATCCTGCCTAGGCACTGTCGACGCCTAAATCTCAAAGAACGCCGCCAACTTGAAGTGTGCAAACCCGCCGAAATAACAATTCCAACATGTTCTGGAGTTACAGCCGGCATGCTACTCCAAGATGTCGGTCTGCTTACTTCGACCAGGAGCCTTGGGTAGCGCAGACTAGAAGTATATATCCTGCACAAAACAAGTTCGAAGACACGCTCTACTGACTAAGCTCACCCCCTAGTATCCTCTTGTATTACCCCTAAGAGAAGCCTCTAAAGGAACGGCACCCTGTCCTAAGTATGCATCAAAGGTTCAGTGGCTCCGGCTTACAGCCGACCCTGCACAAAGCAACCCTCTTCTTCGAAACTTGATTGCAGCCCGCAGGGCCTATTCTTGGGGCTCCATGTACCGGGGACTGCTTCAAGACCGAAGTACATAGTATAGGGGCCTTAGGAATTAGAATATGGTTTTGGGGGCTCCTTATTATAATGATAGTATAATATACCCCTAAACCCTATTCTAATTATCAAGGCCCCTACATTACTAGTTGGGTACATTGACCCTTACGGTAAGCTACAGCTTATGGTTTCTGGAGCCTCGAACGGTGACCTTGACCAAGGCCTGTCCTTTTTTCCCGGCAGCTTCAAACGAAGGATGGTGGCTCTGTCACCGCCTCCGGTCAGTAATTCCTACTGCCTTTGCTTTGCAAAGGCAAGTTTCGACGAGGTACTTTGAATGTCAGGGGCTGCTAACCCTAAATCCTAAACCCTAAACCCTAAAAAGTGAGGGGCTGCTTGTTGCACGACACAAACAATCCGAGCCTGAAGCCGACCGTCGGCGTTGCGTTTCAGGATGTTTCTGTGTTTAGGGTTTAGGGTCTAGGGTTTAGGGTTTAGGGTTTACTTTGTGCTTGCCCATGTGTGCCTATACATGCTGATAGACTTGTACAGGCGTATATACCCCAACCTCAAGGAGATACCTTGAACAGTACAGCCACCAGTATTCATTGTCTTGATTTATTCAGCCCTAAACTCCTAAACCCTAAACCCCTAAACCCCTAAACCCAAAACCCCTAAACCCCTAAACCCTAAATCCTAACCCCTAAACCCCTAAACCCCTAGCATTAGTCAAAGCCAAAGGCGCCTAAGACCGCAAAGCTCTAGCAAAGACTCTGGGGGTGTAGGTTTTAGGGTTTAGGGCTTAGGGATCAGGTTTTAGGGTTTAGGGATCAGGTTTTGGGTAGGTTTTAGGGTGTAGGATTTAGGGTTTAGCATGAAATTTAGTCTTATTTCAACGCAAGACCGTAAGCTTAAACTGCAACGCATCTTCTGCGATACTCAGCTGCCATGCAGCCCGGCACCGTACAGTCATATCCTTCGGGTCATTCCTGCGAAAAAGCGCCTGAAAGTCAAAGGTACGAAGCACGGTGGGAAGAAACCGCCTTACAGGCCTAACACATCATAAACTCCCGTGTCATTTCAATCGCCACATAAAGGACCACGAAATGAAATTGAAAAAAGGGTTGTGAAACGGGCGGGTGGCGGGTGTCTGGGAGGGCGGGGTTCCATAACTTTTTGCCCCAACAAGCACAACCACTGAAAATCCCCAAAAAGAATAATCATCATCATCAACATCATCATCGTTATCACCATTATCATCATCGCCAATATCATCGTCAGCATCTAGACATTCACAACATTAGTGATGAAAATAGAATCGCCATCAGAAGATCTCTCGTAAATACCAACTTAGGCATATCAACTATAATTTTGGGTCGTGCTCAAAGTAATTGTTCGCATGTTAATCACAACCATATTCACAGTCCTAATAGCACTGTTTATTTCAGGTATAATTAACAACCATGCCAATACAAAGGTGCTGTGATCGCCCCACATTCACAACTCTACGGAGGTCGGCCTCACTGTGCCAGGTCGTCTCGGGGTCTCCTGCAAGGAGGGCCTTTACGATTAAGGGCTTCTGGCAGGCTCCCGGGCTTTAGGGTTTAAGGCTTGGGGTTGAGGCTTTAGGGTTGAGGGGTTTCCTAAACCCTAAACCGTGTTGAGCTTCTCTGATTCAGGGCTCCGCCCAAACACAACTATGCCGGCATCCCCTGTCAGCCTAAAGCAACACCAGGCTAGGTTAGCATCCATCGGGCGGTCTCAATCGCAAGGTGCAAAATCTCACAAGTACGGTGATCCTACAGCAGTCAAACAGTGCACGGACGAGACCTTGTCTGAAATCTGAGTCCTGAATCAGATTGAAGCAAGGGACTGTCCTTGGAAGTCCTTCCCGAAACCCCAAACCGTAAACCCTACACCACTGTTCTCAATGGGTTCAGGTCTTGGGTTTGCGACACCGAGCAATCGGGCGCACAAAAGAAGGCCAGACCAACATGTGTCTCGGCTTGAGATCAGATAGGCATCGTTAAGCCATCTCTCGCTTGATTCTACGTCTCTCTCTTACTGTTTG